CCATATTGATAATTTCGCCACTGAAGAAAATGTGTACTTCTGAAATATATGGACATATATCGAAGGCGCCTCACGGGGGCCCCCTCACATACGGGGATGCGTAGTCAGCGTATGCCTTAGAACGGGCCTGCCAACGCCTCGAGCCATGTTGATGATGATGTTGATGAAAGTCACAGACAATTTTGTCCACGCTCCCTCTCATGGGCTATCCCCGTGTCACAACAGCCACAAGGGACCGCCATAACCACAAGCCTTCTTACTTTCTCACGATAGTCGAGCTTGTGGATAGTATATCGGCCATGGGGTAACAGTGACCCTGTGACACAGACTACTATAACTTGATGATCTCTAGCCTTAAATAAACGGATCATCAAATATATCGAGCCTAGCGATGTATTATAAATTCCAATCATTGTAATCGGTTAAAGGCACCAGTTACTATGTTTTTTAAAACTGTTTAAAAAGAAAATTTTGTAATTTTTAATAATTTTTAGTTTTGTTATGTTGTTATACAATTTGTGCTCAAGCTGGGGGGCGGGTGGGTGGGGTGCCCTCACGGAGAGACAGCTAAAAGAAACACTGTTGCTAATAATAACTATATATATATATATTTTAAAAAGCATGACGTCATCATTCAATTTTTTTATTAACGCCATTCGCTACTTTAAAGGTCATGCTTTTATTATAAAATATAATTTGAAAATATGACAAGATTGCTCACGTTTGATATTCAGGCTAGTGAGAACTTTATTAAAATTATAGACCTTAAAATTGAAGCAAATGTAGTTTAATACAGTGTTATTAAAGTCTTTAAACTTGTGATTTAAAAAAAAAAATACAGATAAATGCGAACGGCAAGTAATATTTCGGCTCATAATCGGGTAATTTTCCAAACATTGAGATATTTATAATCGAAAAACCAAAGCTTCTAAGAAGTTAAGCCTTAAAGCCGGGTACCATTAGCCTCTAATAGGCTACATTGGCCGGGTGCGAATGGCGGCACTGCGTCTCTGGCTCCATTTTGACTCAATGCTATTCGGATGTCATTTGTGGTACTTTATTTTAGTTAAACTGAAGAATTAAGTTTACAAACATATGGTCCAATCAATTATCTTTCATCTGATACCTCATTTTGTCGTACAAACCCAATAATAATATTTTAAATAGTTTTTTTTTTTTTAATCCCAACCTCTCACTTCTGGTACCCGGGTGCGAATAGCCACTGCGTAAAATCTATCTCCTTAAAGATTTTGAAGCTGCGACATGCCTATTAGGACGGCAGTGAATGTAAAATTGCCAAATTTATTGATAAGGAGAAGAACATGGATGGCGCTAAACTGATGACGACCAGGACAAAGTAAAGATAAACAAGATCGAATAACGTAAGTCGGAACACGGAATTTGCGTTTGTTACCTAAAATTTTAATTTATGTAACAGAACCAACAGTAAATAAAAAAAAGGTACGAGGCATTTTCGGTTAAAATTTTTCTTTCTTCGACTCCTATCTCCATGAAAAGTTTAATGCTCTTAACACTCAAGATTTATTGATTTCTTTGGGGCATGGGAATTAAAATTGCAACAGGAGACAAGAAATATACGTTAAATTACAATTTGTTCAAACCTGTTCAATTTAAACTGGGATGTTTCAAGTTTCGTTGCTGATTAAAATGAACATTTTCGTGACAAAATAAAAATGGGCATAGCAGAATACAAACACTACAAAATAAACAACGTTTTAAAAAATTGTCAATGAACACGTTTGTCCGGTTGTCTTAAGAAATACATTCTGTTTCTACTAAATTACTAGAACTCTATTGCCCAACGGCAATAAAAGAACTGCTTCGTTGAAGTTAGTCTCTACGTTATGGAAAGTGCCAATTTCTGCTTCTAGACATTTACAAATGTATTCAAATGCTGCGTTGGTTCCATGTGAGATTTTAAAGAAGACCGCTTATATTATTAAATTAAATTCTATGAGGTACAGTGTTCTGAACGAAGGGCAGATTGTCTGATCTGTGATAGAATCGAGTAACATTTCTAATTGGTTTGCCATTGACGGCCTTGATGATGATACTCACAGCGTTATGAAGAAACTGATAGGAAAATATGAATGTCTCTAATACCAGGGCCGGCGCTAGGGGATGGCGAAGTCGCGCATTGCCGTAAGATATTTATAATATACCTAAGCCTACTAATAGTTCCTAATCCAGTCAACACAATATTCGGAGTTATAAGATAGTTAAAAGGTCTGAAGGTCAGTCTGGCTCCCATAATATGCCTTCGAGATGACTCTCGGGAAGACCTCTGGGCGCATGTTAAGCAGACGAAAGGGAATTATCAGGGATTTTTATTCTGTATACAGACCCGTCTTAATATCCTATCAGCGGAATATATAACGTCAACGGCCCCGCAAAAATCAATTTGCCAAAGGCCCCTCCCCACCCCCACCTAGCGCCGGCTCTGCTAACACTTTGCGGATGAAGTGTTCACTTTGCGGATGAAGTGTTCACTTTGCGGATGAAGTGTTCACTTTGCGGATGAAGTGTTCACTTTGCGGATGAAGTGTTCACTTTGCGGATGAAGTGTTCACTTTGCGGATGAAGTGTTCACTTTGCGGATGAAGTGTTCACTTTGCGGATGAAGTGTTCACTTTGCGGATGAAGTGTTCACTTTGCTACAAACTCAAGGACGGGTAAACATCTTTTGATTCAGTTTTTAAAAAAAAGGGGAATTCATAATTACACTTTTAAAGAAGACTTTCTTTTTAAAGACGAGTTGAAACGCACTAAAAAGTAGAATATAATCGTTAATTTTTTAACGCGCATTACACAAAGAAAGCCTGTGTAAAGGGGCAGCAGTTCACTCTATGAAGCTAAAGGGTTCGAATTACATGTAGAAGAAATTATAATTTGGTTCATTAAAAAATACCAAAAGAATTTAAACAGAGTTGGACAGAGTTGACGCTAAAAAGAAATACGATGGCTTTGTGAGTAGAAATAAAGTCTTTAAAAAACGGTTGGACATCAATAACAAGAAACCGAAATCACAAGCGTCCGTGCAGACCACAGGGACCTGGCTACTCATTGTGACCAAATTTTAAGAGTAGAAATATAGTTAGGGGTCGTTCGTAAATTACGTCGCGCAAAAAATGACCTTTTGAGAACCCTCTCCCTCCTGTCACAAAGTGTCATAAATTATTTACCCCCACCTCCCAGTGTCACGTCTCCCCTAAAAAAATAAAAAAAATGCATTACATTTTCATAACTAAAATAAGATTTTATTTTATTCTTTAACATTTTCCCATAATGGATTAATACGTAGTGTTATTAGAAAACTGTGACGCGAAACAACAAAATCATCCGAATGTAAAAATGGCCACACCAGTTTTGGCGTCATTTTTCGGTATGCGCAAAGGTGTGAGCGACTGAGTTTCCTAGTACCTCTAACACCTGAGGCAATTTGGACCTCACATTAAAGTTTTTAAAATTAATTAAATAAAGATTTTTCAAAATTAGAAAATTTTTAAATTTATAAAAAGAAGGGAGTCACAAAATTTTGAGCCCCCTCCCCCCTGTGACAAAATGTCACAAATTCTTGAGCCCCCTCCCCCTGTGACAAAATGTCACCAATTCTTGAGACCCACGCCTCCCCCAAGGGAGACGTAATTTGCGAATGACACCTTAGAAGAGGAAAGACAATAATGCTCAAAGGAAACATAACTCTTACGATGGTGAGAAATACATAGAACACATTTTGTGTGAGACATATGAAAAAGTATATAGTGTTTTGCAAAAACTGTAGGTATTAAAAATAAATAAATAATTAAACCCTGATATCAAATGCTACTTCTATACAAAAATGATGTTAAAATGAATTTATGTTTCAATTTTTGACCATCTCTTTAAGCAGGTCAACCATTAAAAAAAATTGTTTCAAAAATAACCTTTTAAATTCGGATAAAATGCAAAATAATTTTTTTTCTCCATACAATAAACGTGGACGGAAGGTAAGATCTATTATGCTCATAATATAATTTATACATTTTAATAAGCTAACCTTTTTTTTTTTAAGGTACCATAAGCAAAGTTTCAAATCATTAATAGTTTATAACTAAATAGCAAGAGATTGTATTTTTGAAATTAGTCTTGGCAAGGATTGAAATACTTGAAAAAATAATTAATAAATTACTTCTATCTAAAAAAAAAATAATTTTATGTTCCTATTAATTTTTTTTTTTTAAAAGGACAGATTGTGGGCGAATAAAAATAAAAATGGTCTAATTTAGATATTGTTTGCAAATCTTCTGGCTCCCTATCTTATCTTTCATCATTTTATCTTCTGGTCTCCCTATCTTCTGGTCTGCCTATCTTCTGGTCTGCTTATCTTCTGGTCTTCCTATCTTCTGGTCTGCCTATCTTCTGGTCCCTTCATTGTCTGGTCACTTTATCTTTTAGTCTCATTATGTTGTCGAACAACCTTCTGGTCGCACTGTCCTCTGGTCAGCCTATCACCTGGTCTGTCTACCTTGCGGTCGCTCTATCATCTTCCTAACTCATAGGTATACTTCACCAAAAGTAATGATTTTTTGTTTGACGAAGCCCCTATTCATTCGACCCCTCTAATTATGTTTCATTCGGTGGCAGTAAACGAGTTCTCTTTGTTTTAAAAGCTCTCACCGGAGAGCACCAAGCTGGATTTGGATTCGGTTGACCCAACATCCGAGGCGTCTGGCTTGTGGTCAGCAGTTTCGCTCTCTTCCACTCGAGGTTTATCCGTCAGGTATCCGGGGCTGTTGTTAGTGTTCTGAGATAACGGTCTATCTGTCACCGCCGTTGTACTGCAAATATCCTCGGCCGTTAAGATTGAGTTGGGAATATTGTCAGTGTTTGCGCTCCGCGTAGCGTCAGTAACAGGGCAACTTTCAAGCTGACCGGTGCTCGTTGCACCAGCATGCAATTTAACATCAGCTGTCTCGGACGATTTTATTGCTGGAGGGGAACACAGTTTTTTGGAATTTTCTTCCTCGTGATATCGCCAGGACGTAGCTTGGCCTCCTTTGGCTAATGTCTCCCTCACGCTGGTCATTTGATCGGTCAGCTGCCTTTCCAGTGAGGAATTCTCATGATCTGCCAGTGCTTCACCAGCTGTCAACATTTCGCCTTGGTGCTCCTGGTGCTGATTTGAACGATCAGGCCTGCTGTGCTTCGGCATTAAATTTAGGACCTCGCAAGATACGTACGTCCTTTGATGGTTGTTCCTCTCGCTGACCGGAGAAGTGTTGAAAAATTGCTTTGACTTTGTCAGGCATTTCTTGTCCAGAGAAGTGTACTTTTTATGGTGCTCCGACGAGTCCAGGAGAACCTCGCCGGCAGTCTTGTTGACCAGCGGATATTGCCGGGGGTTGGGTCGAGGTTTGAACGCAGTCGCCTGATCGCCGTCGTGGGTGCAGCCTGGATCTCCTGCACGCCTAGTGTTGTCTGTCGTGTGCCTGGATCTATATTTGGCGTGGGCATCTCTCTCGTGCCTGTGCCTGTTTCTCTGGGTGGGCAGTTCGTCTTTCTCTGCGAGTAGATCCAGCAGACGTTGACGGACTCCGCTAATAAAACAGTAAAAAAACAACCCATTAAATACAAAATATAAAAAAAGAACCCGCATCAAAGAACTTCGAAATTTACAGATTTAAATAATGTTTTAGTTTCGGAATTGCGCTCATCGCCATTACGTTCTAACGTTAATACCATAACATTGTTTTTTAGATCAGCGTTTTTTTGTTGTTGTTGATAATCCCCAGCCGGTCTTACTGTTCGTTTGTTTGAGATTAGGCACCAATAACCATTGATATTGTTATTTTCGTCTAAGGAAAGCAAGTCTTACAATAGGTTTTGTGTATTTTGGATACGCGTCGTCTATTTTAAACAATTTTTTTTCTTCTAATTTAGTATATTTAATCTAAGGTCTTCTTGGTACGCGTGATGATAGCATGGAATCGTAATTATTTCTGAAATGCCTATTAATTTTAGGAGGTCTTAATCCACAGTTTATATGTCAGAGTTTTGTAATAGCTTCACTAACTTCCAACTGTTCTTAGGTTGTACTCGGGAATGTCAAGCTCATAATTACCAAAGACGCTTAAACAATTTTTCGGTTAACAATTGAGAATAATCTTAAGCGTTACTTTTTACCTCAATATTTTACAACAAAATGTATTAAACTTTGTAATAGTATTCCTAATTAATAAAATATGTTTAGGAGAATGTATGGGGGTGGATGGGTAAGCAAAATAGTTTCCATGTCCATATAAATTTGTGTATACATCTATCCTTGAATGTCAATGCATATGTAAAAATGAAAAAAAAATAAATAAAAAACTAAGCTTCTGAAAAGTTGTCTCGTCTCACAAACCTTTCTGTCCCGAGATTTGCCCTCCTGTAAGTAGCCCGGATGTACTCCTGACGGAGCCTGTCATGGTCTCGCTCCAGGGCCCTGAGGGACTCACGCGTGATCTTGTGGAAAACCTTCTCGGCATCTCGCTGTGACGTCAGCTCCACCACTCTCATTTTCAAAGTGTCATAGTCCATCCCCTTCTTAGTGCTTTGTTCCTTGCTGTCCACGCCTGATCTGCATGCACAAGACACACGGTAAATAAACATGCATGATATCCACACATCCAATTTAAAATATGATGACTTCCTTAAAATTAAGTATAAATTCTACGTCCACTTATCACTTGACCGTTCAGGGGTGTTTTCAAGACCATATTATCTGAACCTAAGCCATTATATCTAAGCCTCTCTCCGAACGTTGTGGAAAATTGTTAAAATTTATTTCAAAGAATGTACTGTAGTAGTTTGTATTTCCTTCCCGTAGTATTGAATTCACCTTTGTAAGTTTTTCATCCCTATCTCTTCCCCTACTCCCCCTCCCACTCCCAACCTTTCTTAATAAATAATAATAATAATAAAGTGTATTTCAAAAACACGCTTCATCCCCAAAGGCTCGAAGCGCGGTACAAGAGTAAAAAATCTATAATTGACCACATTTAAAACAAACGCAACACTACAAAAACTAATTACAAGCATACAATGTTAAAACACCACTGCTGAAACAAAAAGAAATAAGCATCAACAATAAATAAAATTCTTAACAAAATCCGTTATATTTCCAAAGTTTGTAACACTGAAGGCAAAGAAATTCTAATATTCAAATATTGATTAAAAAACAAAAACGCCGAACGCTTCACAGACTCTATTCATTGTAATGCTGTAACGCCCAACATGATACAAGGTGGCTAACAAAACAGAGATCTAAGTAACCAAAACTAAGACTCCCCAGAAAGTTCCTACTTGCTCTCCTGCAGTGTGACCACCAGCTTGTTGATCTCCGCACCTTGCTGCGTGAGACATTGTTGGTGTGTAGACATTGTTGCACTGACAGACTGAAATATTTCATAGTCACACTCATTGCAATTATGTTTTAAATTTAAACACGTCTTGGCGAGGCAACGAATTCATTGCTAGAGCTTTAATTTGAAATTGATTGATGGAAGCTTCCTCTTGTGACAGAGTTGATGGAAGCTTCCTCTTGTGACAAAGGACGAAAAGCAAACAGGCAAACAAACAAAACAAAAACCTCGTTAATAAATTGCATTGATGTCAAATACAAACGGAACACCCTAGGAATTTCACAAAATAAAAAAGGTGAACTATCATCACCTGATTGAACCGCTCCACGGTGGCTGCCCAATGAGAGGTCAACACTTGGGTCACGTGATCATGGGCTTGACTTATCGAGTCTCCCACCTCTGTCTTGAGTTTTGCTGCTACTCTCTGCAGCTCGCATCCAACGTTTCGCTCAAGCCTGTCAAGGCTGTCTCCGACACTGGCCTGCTGGATACGTTAAGGGGGACGGTCAACAAGTGGTGAATATATCGGGACTGCGGTATTTCAAACAAATAATCCTAACCTTGCTGGCATAATCGTCGTTGAATGTTATAAAACATTAAACGTTTTAGCTTATGAGTTAAGTAACACTAACATAAAAACTAATTAAAAATCACGGTCTGAATATGTTGGAACTTAAACAACATCATGGAATGAATTTACGTGAAATGCCAGCAGATTTAGCATACTACTTACATAAATAAGAGAATACTTGCACGAATAAGATACTACTTACATAAATAACAGAATACTTGCACGAATAAGATACTACTTACATAAACTTTCATGTCACGAAAGTCGCTCTGCATCTCCTTTATCTGATGTGCCAATAATTGGATGTCCTCGGGTTTAACGCATGGCGGTGGTTGCTCACTGTCTTTAGTTTGTGTTGATTGGTTCTGATTTATTAAGGCTAGGTTCGACGGATTACACCCATCTGTCTGAGTTGACTTTGACGAACTTTTCACAACAGAGCTTTGCTCAGGAATAGCTCGTGTCCCAGAAGTTTTGCCCACTTCGCCGCACAGCTTTTTCGCCATTGTGCTACAAGCACGCCGACACTCTCTGCAACCACAACAGGTGCACACCACTGAAGGGCAGACGGGTTCAAACGAACAGGAGCACGGCGTAGGAGCTTCTGGCTTTGTGTGCGCCAGCACTGCCCGAGATGCCACTTGTTTGTAAGCTGCGCTCTGCTGAGTGCCATAGCAATCTCGGTGTTCTGGTACGGTGTTGGTGGTAGTCAAAAGCTGTTCAAGAGATGTTAACTTGTCACAGAGGGCGAGCAGGGTGCTGTTGTCCGTCTTTAGGCACGGGTTCTGTTGGAGCTCCGAGGTCATTTTAGCCGTTGCGTGGTCATTTCTCACGGGGATCGCAAAGTTGGACTGTCGCGGCGCAACCCGATGAGGGTCTGAGGACTTTGGCGAGCCATCCTCTTCCCAGTGACTAAAATATAAACCGTCCTGTCGCAGATGATGTCTTTGAGCGTACCTTCTGTGCTGGTCAAGTCTTCTATGCACTGGGATGGTGGGAACGTATTCCGCTTCAGAAACCTTTTCACGTGTAAGATTTTTCACGTTCAGATTTCTTTGGGGTTTGGGGTTCGATGAACATTGTTTTAGGGGTGAAGGAGAGCAGGAAAGTTGGAACATTTCAGGGTTGACCACTTTGTAAACACAGTGTTTTTTAAATTTCAAGCTACGGCTCATGTCTAAATGTTGAGTGAAATCGTTGCCCTCCCCAAGAAACAGCCAGTCATTGAAGGAATTTTTTGAAATGTCTTTACTATCCTCGTCTCCCATTGAGCCAGTGCATTCATTTTCATAAGAAGATTTTCTGACTGATTGCATTTTGTCTTTTGTTTGAAGATAAATATTTTCTTGGATACCGGAAGCTGTTAATTGATCAGTTTCCTTGACCGACGGGTGAACTGGACAATCCACATGTGCGGGATCCAAATGATTGTCTTGTGAAATGATTGAGGGAACTGCTTCTCCCCGAGTTCCCGCGTTATCGTGAACTGAGTTTAAGTTCATTCTTAAATGTCCAATATCCCCTTGATGTTTAATTTGATCACTTTGTTCATTTTCATGTAAAATTGAACCCCCGTGGTCAGATAACGCTATAAATAGCTCAGGATTGGAGCATGTAATTTTAGATTCTATTGTTGTAACCTCACGGACCACATTCTCATTGGCCGCCAAACTTTGAACTGTTGTTGCATGATTTTTGCTTATTTGCGAATTGTCTTGAACAGATTTACCGTCACTATGGCGAGAATGTTGCTCGTCATTTATGTGCCAGGTTAACTCACCTTTGGGTTGATCTACAGCATCACCATCCGCCGTCGAACTTAAGATATCATCCAAATGTTTTGACCTGTCACGCGCAAAAGTTTCGGACACTTGGTGTAAAGTTTGGCCCTTCTTCAACACAAAGCTCTCAGTGTCGTTAGAAAACTCGCCGTGAGGGGATTTTAGTGCCGTTTCAGATTTGTTGAGAAGCAGAGAGTTACTTAACGTTGGTAAAATGAATTCACCACTTGTTGAGCTCACCGATGAGAGGATATCCCCCGAGATGGTAAGAGAGTGTGCTCCTGTACTGGGTTGGTTCTTTATATTTTGATTGCCCGCATTATACGATCCAACTGGCTTTGTTGGTGATTCCACGCTGTATGTAGATGGTGGTTTCGGACGACTGGGAGACAAGCCAACTTGTATTTTTACCACGCTTTCCGCCGTTGTCCCAACAGCTTTACTTCTTTCATGAGTCTGAATTATTAGCTGGCGTCCACTCAACTCTTCCTTGTTTATGTCTAGTGGGTCATCAAACACTTCTGCTGCATTTTCATTGCTCTCCTCATCTATTCTAGCTAACAGTAGCTGAGAGACAGATGGCCGTGTAGGATCGTGAGTCTTAGATCGCCCTTCAACGGCCATCATGGAGATTTCCCCCAAGCTAGCAAAGCATGAAGATGGATCTTGAAAGTCATGGGCAGCCGTCCAAGACATGTCTTTTAAACCGAGATCACGTGCGAGGTTTTCGAGCTGACTGGAGCCGATCTGGTTGGAAGATCGATATCTCACAGGTGATCTGGATTTACGTTTTCGTTTTGAGATCTGCGTCAGCTGTTTGAGTTTCTCATCCACAATTTCCTTTTGTTTCTTCTTGAGAATGTCCGATGGACTTTTGTCCCTCTGTAAGTCATCAATCAGATCCTCGTCACTGCTGGTCCAGTCCACGGTGGGGACAAACTGCGCGGTGATGTCATCCAAATCATTGTGAAGGTTATCTGTTTTCAGCAGCCACTTTCTGTGGCTCGGTCGGCTGACGTGGGGCATTTTGTCCACAGTGGAGTTTATCCCGCATGGACTCCAACCACTGGCGGAGGGACTTTCTTCAGCCGGATCAGCTGACGGTCTGTCTAGATTCATCGTGGCGTCCACGAGACTTTCTTGCACGGTATTTGACAAGTCTACGGAAAATTGCGATAAATTCTTAGAGAATTCGTACAGGACGTCAATTTCCTGAATAGTCGATGGTGATTTAATGACCGTTTCATTACATTCATTTGAACCTACACAGTGCTTTAATGATGTACTAATATCTTCTGAATTATTCTCAATTACATGTTCTTTATCTTCTGTTCTTTGGTCACCAAGTTCCTCTTTGTCGTTCGAATATGAACCCGTGTTTCCTGTGTCGATGGTGGCCAGTGGCTCACGACTGATGGCGCTTTGTTCCAGATCCATCTCCTCGACATAACACTCTTCTTCTCTAGCGTCCGGATCCTCTTCTATCTGAATAACCTCTGATATGCTCTCAGCATTGAAGTCAGACTCGTAATTAACCTGTTCGTCCTCTTCGATTTGAATAACTCCCTGTGCGGAAATGTCTCCTGCATCTGGATCTTTTATCCCTGACGCTTCTTTACCTACGTCAGCAGCTGCCCCAAAGCTGTCTGCTTTCGTTGTCTTCTCTGCGGTTACCTTCACGTCATTTAAAGTTTCCTTTTCGGTCGTCTTACTGAACACGCCGCTTGTGTCCGAGCAGTAGACTTCGTTGTCGTTTTCTTTAGTCGTCACTTCGTCCTCCTGCGAATCGTAGTCGAGGAGCTGGGTCAGCATGGAAGACGTGTATTGGCAAGTGTCTGTCTCGGGATTTTCCGTAACGCTGTCGGAAGTTTCGCTCTCCGACGAGGTGTTCGAGTCACGGCGAGGACTGTGTATGATGAAAGTGCCAGAGTCCCTCGTCCTTTGACTGCGGGAGAGCAGCTTGACTTTCTCCGGTTTTTTCCGTGATGGCTTTTTGTGACGCTTTTGTTCTTTTTCTTTCGTGGGAAATAATGAATTCCTTTCCTGAAGTACAAAGAACGTGGGCGAAGCTGTTTGGGGGAGGGCCATCTCGGAATCGTCACACTCCACGTTTACACATTTTCCAGTTTTATATTTTTTTGTTTTCGGAACTTCCGCACGCCCGGGTTTCAAAAACTGTGTTGATGTAGTAGCCCTGTTAGGACTTCGACTCTTCGCTTTATCAATAACAAATGTGTTCGATCGGCTGAGAGCCCTCTTCTGAGTTGCTTGACTTTGAGGTAACCTTGGACTTCTCGGGCTATGGCTTTTACTTTCTGGAATCGCGAGGTCGTCGGGGCATGACGAGTAGGTCTTGAAGAATTCGCTCATAATGTCTTCGAAATCACCCACTGCTTTCTCGTACGCTCTTTCCGCGGCTAAATTCTCCACTCTGTTGTTCATGCGACCAATCTTCTTCTGTAAGGCATTCGCCAACTGGGCCTTTTCCAGGCACGCGTTGAGGTGCCTTTTTCGAACAATGGGATCGCAATCAGAGCTGAACTGAGACAAGAGCTGAGACGTTGCTGCTGAAGATAGGCTTGCCGGCCATCCATCTCGTGAGAGTGACGGGTAGCCACTGTTGCTGGATATGTTTTGAAACGCTGAAATTTCTGCCACACATGTCTCTAATAGTGCTATAATATCTTGGTCCACATCGCTATGAAGACAAGTGTTAGTTTTTAAAATCTCAAAAATTTCATCTAATGTAACTTTAGAGGAATACAAAACGTCCTTCGACATTTTATCGACAAACGAGTGACACATGACGTCAGTTTGTGCATTCATTTGTGTATCATTTGCAGATACTTCTTTCAAGTCAGACTGCTTGTCATCAGCATCCACAAAAACCGTCGACGGTTTATTGCCTTCTTCAGTAGTTCGTCTTTCCTCAAAGATATCCTTAACTTTATCAACACGATCGAGATGATTATTTTCTATAGTCTCTGAATCAAATGGGTCGTTCTGATTTGGAAAAATATCGCACTGCCTTCTGTCCTCATGAATATCCCACTGTTCATTTCCACAACATAACTCTATTTCGAATTTGTCAGTCTCTTTGCTGTTAACTGTCTCAACGGCATCATTTTCAAACAAGCGCCCGATACATTCATTTTGTGCACTCTTATCATCAATCTCATCCTCATCACGAGGCCTGCATTTTTTCATGTCGGCAAATATGTCATTCGATTCAAAGCTAAATAGTTGATCCCTTGTCTTCGCCTCATCCACCACATCCCCTGTTCTACATTCAAGTTCTACATGGTTCACTGGATCGTTGTTTGAAATATTTCCCATGGGACATGGATTATTGAGATGGTTGCTGTTGACTTCAGACTCTTTATTTAAGTCTTCAGAAACTAATTTTTCAACTTGATAATTTCCCCTTTCCCCCTGCACCATATCGTCATCATTGTTATGTCCCTTCACTACGTCAACTGCGTCTCCATTGCCCACTAACTGATTGTTTACAAGGTCGTCTGTGAACGAGACACCCAGGAGGTTGGTAAAGCTTTCCGTCAGTCGCACGCTGAGCTCCCCGGGATTCTCCAGTGATGAATCTTTTGTGCTGATATCGGAGTGTAGGGACGACTTAAGGATATCTCGCGTGAATATTTGATCAATGAAAGAAGCCCGTGGAGACACCGCATTCACTTCACGGGCATGGTCTCCACATAAACCACGAATGCGGTTTCCAGTTACGCCACACGTGTCTCCGGCATCAGGATTTTCATTAAAAAGCGGCAGCTTATCGATGCTCGCCCTCTCTTGGACGTCGTAGAGGCCGTCCACCTCATTTATTACCGGCTTCCCAAATTCCAGTCCTTCGTCTTCATTTTCAGAAATCAGCGAGTCGCAGGAAGCGGAAGTCGTTGTGGAGTAGGACGAATGCGTGCACTCCCCTTCGCAACGCACGACGTCCACGGAATAAGGGCAGTCGCTGAGTTTGCTGTCCAAATCATCGCAGCAGTCAGACTCGGTCATCGAACTGTTCTCGTACAAGGCAAGTAGATGCTCTGCCAGGCCGTGCTGGTCTCGTGGCGTCTCGTGTTTGAGCGTGACGTTCGTGCTGGTGTCATCGAGGCCGTCGCTTTCCGTGTCAATCTCCTGAAATGCGACCAGGTCCCTGTTTTCTGACAGCAGTTCAAGGGTCCTCGTGCGCCTGTCTTCTAACTTCTTCTTGAGTTCTTCTATCAGAGTCTTGCTGTATTTCCTCCACTCGGTTTGTTTCGGTGCCGCCCTGTCAGCCGCGGTCATTCCGTCAGTTCCTGACGGCTCATTGTCCATCCTTGATCCAACGGTCAGGGCAAACCAAAGCTTTATATGAGAAAAGAGACAGAACGTTTAGATCCCATCTGAAGTTTGTCACAACATTATAATTGGGTTGAATCCTAGAAATCCCAACATGTCTTCGATTTCCGAGTATGGTGAGCCCTGAATAAGGCAATAAACGAATCAATCCATTTTATACTTCATATTAAAAAAAAAATACATGTTTGCTATAGCATGTGAAAGTTATCACTGATATTATTTTTAACTTGTAAGACTGCATTAACTTGGTCGGTAATTATGTCGATTTATCTTTTATAACTTTACAAACTTTAAAATCCACCTACTTTTTCATTGCAATGTTTTAATTTAAAGTAAACAACAGAGTAAATTCTCACTGTACCTCAGACTAATCTATTTGATTACGACTCACATACTCGTGGCTTTGTTTTAAATGATCAATGTTCGAAGAAAATGTATAAATTGATCACCAAAGCGCAGCGGAAGAAGAAGACAGACATGTTGGCATCTTTTGGTAACCACGGCACCAAGCTTTATTAATTGGCGTTTTGATTAGAGGCTATAGAATAATTTACATTAACAATTGAAAATGGAACACCGGTTTTTAGATCTATCGACCGATGTAAGTATGATGAAGTTACAAAGGCCAAACATATAAACCAACGCTTCTTTTCAAACTGTTGGACGCGGACTCAAGGTATCCCTGCCGATAATACTTTTAAAATAACTGCAAATGAAGTGGAGTTTTGTAGATAAAATGTGACTTAGAGTATCACTTAGTCTTTATGCTAATCCTTTTTTTTACTGAGTGTCGTCCATGGCTTGAGATGGAAATAGTTTTATATATACATTTGTTTTTGTTTGATTTAATTAATGTAAGTCAATCAATTATTTCAGATTTTTATTAATTGTATGTACAGCGTGGTTACCACGCTATATAAAACCACGTATAATAATAATAATAATTATACTATTTTATAATTTGTTAATGACTATTTAGTATTGTTCAAACTACTTCCTTAGAAATTGCAAAAATTATAAAAAGAAAAGTGCATTTTTTATTTATTGTGACAGTGCTGGACTGCGATATTGAATAAATTAAAAAAATAAATAAAAAGACGCACAAAGACCCGAAGACAATTAATAAAGACAACTCTTAAAGTTTAAGGGAAATAATATATCAAATTCTTATCTCGATGCACTTAAACAGAGTTGTGGCCCCGTGAGATCTCAAACGAAGACGCTCGATGCTAAAAAAGAAAATTCTGGATCTTTCAAGTGTCAAACTCAAAGTGGTATAGGAAGCTTAAGATCGACATATTTTTTTTTTACTATAGTATGACTCATTAAATCACGGGTCAGCAAAATGTGCTAAATTATCCCACATGGGGAAAGAAAGGAAAATCTTTGTTATAATGACGTACACGGGGCATAAATACAATTGTATTCCTTTTAGAGAAATGCCCCCCCCCCCCTCCCTTTTTTTAAGGAAAAGCCCCCCCCCCCCCTCCCTTGTAATGCTGGGCATGATATGGCCTGTATAATAGAGAAACGTCCAAATATGTTGTAGTTACTGGTGGCTCGGCAGCTAGCATAAGCTTACGTCTCGTCATTTTGGCCCAGTCCACTTTTTTATCCTACATGCCCAGTTTGCATTGGTGCTTTCAACTCATGGTGTCCCCCCCCCCCCCCCCCATGGATCGACTGTCCACTACTGCTTTGACGGCAACCTGCTCTGTAGGCACCTTGCTTTTGTATTGAACTTAAATCTGTTATGAAACCAACTTGATCGAGCGCTGTAAAATTTACTATTTTCAATTTGGTGTCATCACCCCCTGTGAGGGTGTCATCCTTTGAGAGTACCACCAGGTGCAAACTGTTTACCATATAAATGTACGTATACATTTCTATGAACGATTAGAGAATTGTCATATAAAAGCAATGTCATTACTGTTTCAATTCATTAATACTAGTGATGCTAAATTTCCCGTGCTAAATAATGTTTTCCGAACTGGATACCATGACATAGCTAGTTGGGGATGACATTGTTAACTTGGGTGACATCTAGATAAATACTAGCCAATATACCCGGCGTCGCCCGGAATTGCATTGGGTAAAAAAAAACCAAAAAAAAAAAACGACTTCTACCACCTTTTAGCTTACATTGAAATTAAGGGTCCTGTACAAACACGTCACCGAAAAAAAAAACAAAATAGAATTTTCTTCCATAAAAAGCAAATATATAAAATACAATCCAGAAGGAACCCTTATCTGTTGGGATAACGTTCCCCAGTAAGATTCTATTTCCCACTTTTCAATGTTATCAAAATCTCTGGAAAATTCTAGAACGCCTCGAATAGAGATGTTATGATTACTTTTAAATCCACCGATATCTCAAATGGACTAAATCAAATAGACAAGAATATTTTCTCCTTTATAATGTATGTGATATATGATAGGATGGGTAGACATGGTTAGACAATTAATTACGATATGTTGTCTCAAAGAAAGAAATTGGACCAACTCTGAAGCTGGACATAGTCGCCATGGGACGAAACGTGACCTTTTTGTCATGCACCCCACACCAAATTTTAAGTCACGTGACGGCCGGCGCTGAAAAGCAATAACAACAACAACAACACAAAATGATGGGCTTTCTCGGTTGATGAAATCATTTTGAAAAAAAAAAAAAAGTGGAAAACACTGAATGTCTTCCTTTTGGCAATGCCACATTCCGGGCTTTTTGTTTTATGCGACGGAAACAAATGGCGCCTGAATCAATACCTTTTAATTGGCGCTGAAAAGCAAAAACAACAAAAAAAACACAAAAAGATGGGCTTTCTCGGTTGATGAAATCATTTTAAAAAAAAAAAAAAAAAGTGGAAAACACTGAATGTCTTCCTTTTGGCAATGCCACATTCCGGGCTTTTTGTTTTATGCGACGGAAACAAATGGCGCCTGAATCAATACCTTTTAATAGCAGCTTTTCTAAAGCGTGCATTGCATCATGTTTTGGCTTATCGCCCACAGTCGTACACCTTTTGAGATAAGGTTGTTTTTATGAAGGCTGTCGTGCGATCACGCACTGTTCGGATGAAACGACTCTCAGGTCACCAGCAAAGGGGAAATATCTATAATTTAAAATTGCGGCCTTTGGAGATACCCCGGTATCTCCAGGTTTTTAAAATGAATAATATGTTTGATGTTTAATACGGCAATACGTCTGATGTATAAGATGGCAATGTGTCTGATGTATAAGATGGCAATGTGTCTGATGTATAAGATGGCATTTTGATGTATAAGATTGCATTTTGATGTATAAGATGGCAATATATTTGAGATAAAGGCTGCCAATGTGGCTGATGTATAAGATGTCACTTTGACGTATAAGATGTCAATATCCCTAATATATAATAAGGGAATATGTTTTATGTTTAAAATTTCGATACCTCTAATTAAAACAAGAAAGCAACACCAACAAATATTAATCTTTACTTCACTTACTTTAAAAAAATCTTTAGAGGGCAAAAAAAAAAAAAAGTAAAAATAATTTTTTTTTAAAAATCTGATTTTATGAGTCTTTTTTTTTCTCCCATTTTGCTTAATTAAAAAAAGAGGAAATTTTACTAGGCACGACACAATTGAACTATTGACATCGATTGAAACATTTCTTTTTGAAACTGAAAAAAATAAATACATTAAAAATAGTAATATAGTAGTAAGAATTGTTTTTATCTCACAAAGACAAATACACTTTTGAAATACTTTTATCTCTTGAATTTTAAGAAGGCATCTAATCTTTTAAGATAAGACTCTAGTGACGAGCTCAGGACATGTTTTCTAGTGCACTGTTGCCAAAAAATCGTGTACTCTTTGACCCCTATTTAATATCTAAGTCAGGTAGACAGATCACACCTCATATTCTATTTTTGTGTGTTTTACGATGCACGCGAAGAGTATTAAAACATAAGTAGAGTTTGCGGTATATATTCCTTATCTAATGTTTATATAAAGTACTTTCTGTTCTTGAACCTAGGTGACAAGTTTTTGAAAGTAGCGGACAAATTGGTGTTTCTTGTTACCGAACTTAGAAATCTGACCACATCAACCCAGTTCTTAAAGATTTCCACTGGCTTCCTGTGAATGAGCGCATTGGCCTGAACATTCTGTCCCGTGCGCATAGCTGTATTGAAGGCTCTGCACCTGTATTTCTTAAAAAAACTGATTTCTAA